CACAGCATGTGAGTACTAAACTAAGTTCTCATTCACACACAAGTTTACGTTAAAAACACATGAGTTACAAAAAACAGCCAGTTATGTCTGTGAAGGTAAACAAGCTGGGAAATAAATCGCTTGTTTATTTTAGATCTGTGTGGCAGCAGCAATATACAGTAAATAAATCAATAAATCCACTGCTGTCTTGTCTCCTCTGAGGCTGGGACTGTAAATAGTGTTCTGTGCTCGTCTGTGCAGCCAAAGACAGAACAGTTAGCATGTTTTGCTCAAACTTTCGCCATGGCATTAGAACTAGTACACCGTTGTCGCTTGCAAAAACACAATAACGGTGCCGTGGGTGGAAACTTACAGATTAAGGGGCGGTAATATTATAATGAGATTCCTTTGCCACGTCACCAAGGGAGCGAAATCAGACGCGCTCGTTTTCTCAGACGCTTGCAGAAAAAGGCTTAACAAAACAAAGTTACTGGGTTAATCTTTTTCACGTTTCCTTGGTTGGTAGATGCACCGGGGACCTGATTATAGCACTTAAAACCTGGAAAAGTCAGATTTTCATGATATGTCACCTTTAAAGGGATCCTCAGAGTTTAATATGAGTCACAGCATTTGTGGCATAATGTTGATTGGCACAAAAAATAACGGACTCATCACCTGGAGGATTAAAAAGCTGCAATGTGAAGCTTATAATTTTATATTAATTTTACACTAATTATTCTGTACTAAAACTATTATAACTTCTAAAGCTGTTATAGTTTTAGTCTTCTTATAGTGATTATTTTAATCCATTCACGTTCACTGTAAGTGCTTTACTGTAGATTTCACTTCACTCTTGTTTTTTGCTTTTTATAAAAAAAAAAAAAGGAAAAGTGGAAATTAATTTGATTAATTGATAATGTGATAGTTAACATTAACATTTCCCCCTTTCTCTCCACCTTCTCGGGATTGGACCCAAAGTTAATTAATATTTGCTGGTGATTGGTGAGCCAAGGCACCAGGAGTACTCTGCACGTTTGGACTTGCTGTTGTGTATCTTGTGTGTTAGTGTGTGAAGCGCTACTGTGCTCCAGATCACATCTACTCCAGTGAGTCCTCACTGCACAGTTCAAACACATCTGATTCAACTTCATTAGCAGAGACACCAAGACCACAGACAGGTTTGTCAAGTAAGGCAGGCATCCAAAATGTGCAGTTTTTCAGGAACAGGAATGAAAACCACTTGTTTACTACACAGCCGTCTGTGCTGAGTGAGTGTATAATAAAACATTTGTAAATATCAGTCTTCTTGGGAAACTACAGTGGATGTATATAAGGCCTCTGTCTTGTTTTTCGGTTAGATATACAGATTAGCTATTTGTATTTTTCTTTAGCTTTCTGTTCTAGGTACACCGTAAAAAATATTTTTTAGAAGTTGTAAAAATATTATTGGAGTACATTTTACAAGTACATCATACACTTTTTCCCCCAGTATTTAAGATATAAAGTAAAAAAGGGCAAATTAATACTGCAATTTAATCAAACTAATAGAAAAACGGATGACTGCAAATATAAGGGCACATCCTTATTGGCTCATTTATAAAGGCACATTCTTGTTTGAAAAGATGGATATCATGCATGACAGTCAACACACAAACAGACCCCAAAAACAAAGTTCTGAAACATGTCAAAAGCCAAACACCTGGATGATCTATTCAACTCCATTGTCTGGATCACAAAGCAAAACTTACATTGACGAAATCACCACCCTGAATCATGAAGTCCTTTATCACCCTGCCAAAAGAAAAGATGTACATTATCATTTTTTTTCAACAGATATTTTGTGATCACATACACTTTTATGGGCGACATGCAGCAAGAACTGTGATTTTCTTTTAATTATATCATTAGATTTCGATATACATATATATATTGGGTGCTATAAATATACATTAAGCCTTTGACCCAAATTCAATGCAGTGAAAGCCATTATTTGTAGAGTCAATATCATAGTGCTGTTCTGAATTGCAACGCATCAATCAGGGTGGATTTGCACTGAAATTTTGATAAATGAAAAACGTACAACACCTGTCTAAAGGACAGAAACATAAAAGCCCAAAGTTTCATAACTTAGAATTATATATTTGAACAAACCTCTTTGTCTAATTAAGAGCAACAGTAATATACTGATTAAGCCATACCGCACTAAATATTGTTATACAATATAACAGTGTATAATACTGACTAAAGTGTCTCACCGATGAAATGTGCAGCCTTTATAGCCTACAGGAACACCGTCCTTCCTACATTGAATAAAAGCACCACATGAACAAGGTATATGCAAATCAGGCAGGACCAGGAAGAAAGAGCTGTGCACATAGCATGCTTTCATGAAATACAAGCTGTGTTTAATCTGTAACCTTATCCAGCACATGTTTCTTATAGAATCATTTCTACATCCTCAAAAGCATTAGTCACAATAACTCAGTAAATGTGGTACTATAGGTTCAACTATGCATGTGGCTGAAGTAGCACAGCCATCTATTAAAGGGACATTTCATCTGAAAATTAAAATTTGCTGTTAATTTACTCACCCTCAGGCCATCCAAGATGTAGATGACTTTTTTCTTCAGTAGAACCGTAAAGATTACTTTTAGCTGAAGCTACGATGATTCAAAAATTGTAGGTCAGGGACTTCAGTCACATTGGGGAAGTCGTGGCCTAATGGTTAGAGTCGGACTCGTAACCCAAAGGTTGCGGGTTCGAGTCTAGTACTGGCAGGGATTGTAGGTGGGGGGAGTGAATGTACAGCGCTCTCTTCCACCTTCAATACCACGACCGAGGTGCCCTTGAGCAAGGCACCGAACCCCCAACTGCTCCCCGGGCGCCGCAGCATAAATGGCTGCCCACTGCTCCGGGTGTGTGTTCACGGTGTGTGTGTTCACTGCTGTGTGTGTGCACTTTGGATGGGATAAATGCAGAGCACTAACTCAGAGTATGGGTCACCATACTTGGCCACACGTCACTTCACTTGAGTCAAAAAAAGCATATACAGGCAAGAGAAAATGAATACCTGTGGCTCCTGACGATATATTGAGATCTTATGAAGCAAAACGATCAGTCTGTGTAAGAAACTGAACATTATTACCTGTAATCCAGAGCCTGAGGCAAACGGTCCGGAGTGATGTCCGGTTCACAAACGAATCATTCTTTTGAATCAGTTCTTTTTAGTGAACTAGATGAACCAACTCTACAAGTTATTCAATCAAAACTCACTTTCAGACTAGGGATGCACCGAAATGAAAATTCTTGGCCGAAGCCGAATAAAATGAAACACTGGGCCGAAGGCCGAATGCCGAACACGGTTTTTCGCATTTTCTTCTCCATTTTGCCAATTTTTTTCACCATTGCATAAATTAAATAGCCAAAATGTGCTTTAAAAATATTTACTTAACACTGAACATTTTTTTACATTCTAGCAGACATTATACCAATAAAACACAATTTAGCTTAAAATTAATAAGTTAGTCAAATAAAATGTTTTGGCCATTTTTGAGGCCCCCTTCTTGAATCAGGCATGTATTTTTTACTGTACAAATAAATGCAGCCTTGCTGAGCAGAAGATACTTCTTTTAAAACATTAGAAAATATTACAGATCCCAGAACACTATGTGTGAATGCTTTAGTTAATACAGCTGTTGTAATTATTATTATCCTTTTTATTGTCTTTATTTTATTTTACAGAACAACAGTAAAATTACAATAATAAGATTTATTAATGTTAATGGAGTTCTTGCTTTTCTCAGTGCTTCTTTTTGTTGACAACAGTAGATTTATAAATGATTCTCATTGCGAATTTGGGAAGATGTTTGTTGTACGTATCGTATTGTAACATGCCTTGTAAAAATTCATAAAAATGTTACTGAGCAACTGACGAATAACACTATTTCAGCGCAGATTTTTCTCGCGCTTTGGACTTTGAACCCTGGTGCCGCGAGCTCATGCAGTGCTGTTTGAATACATGCAATTCGTTTGCATATATGAAATCACAATGTTCTGCAGTTTATTCAATTGTTTAAGGCCATTTCGCGATTTCAATCATCATACAGTAACCAGCAACAACCACCCCTTCCACTTCTCATCGGAGACATGAGATGCAGCACTAAGCAGTCTTTCGCTGTCGGTGCTTGTAATGATTTTTGCATCTTTCTCGGACATGTTTGTTGCATTAGTGCGCGCCTCTATTTGATCGCGTCATGTCATTGTTCGGTACAATTTATTCGGTCTTTTTGCTTATAAAGAGCTTTTGTTGCTCTTTTCGGCCGAATAATTTCGGTTGCCGAACATTTGGTGCATCCCTATTTCAGACTATTGTGTGATTACGTAAACAAACTGGTGAATCAGTTCTTTGAACCAGTTCATTCTGTCTTCACAGGTAATAATGGTGTAAATAATGTTCAGTTTCTTGCACAGACCGATCGTTTCGATTCATAAGACCTCAATGTATCATCAGGAGCCACGGGTAATAATTTTGTGTTGCCTGTACAGGTTTTTTTTTTTTTTTTTACTCGTTTTATGAATCACCAAGGACCATGGTTTCAGTTAAAAATCCTCTTTACTGTTTTAATGAAGAAAAATAATAATCACCTGTATCTTGGATGGGCTGAGGGTGAGTAAATGAACAACAACTGTTAATTTTTGGGTCAACTATCGCTTTAACTCACTGACTTGAATTCACCAGTACAGAACTGCCTGAAAGACACAGAAAAAAACAGATTTACGTGCGTGTTATGATGCCTGCAGCTATTCCACCTGAGAGTATTCTGGGTTTATGCATGAAAGGACTGTGGAATCATCTTACCGAAAATTTTCTGCAGTCTTCGGAACAATGTCAGCAAAAAGCTCGATCTTCATTCTGCCCACTTCCTGAAAACAATAAAACATTAAACAAAAGCTGATTACAAACAAAGAGACAAAATATTCACATTTACACTGATCGCGAGTCACATTCAAATGAAAGTTGTTGCATTCTGTGCTGCTGCAGTGGATGCGCTTTCTAATCATCTGTAAAACTATATCTGCGATGTGAGGCCTTAACCATGGACGGATGATTTGTTGTGTGCTTGTGGAATGTTGCTGTTGTCCTACATGAGCACACATGAGAAATGAAGCGTGCAAGCTGGAGCCGTCACAGCCCCACGTGGGTTAGGCTGGCCATCGTGTCGTAAAAGAGCTAATAACTAATGGATGAAACCAGTGCTGCATTAGTGCAGCGATTCTCTCTTCTGAGGACCTTTGTGAGAGTCATGGAGATGCTGTTTCCAACACCCTGAGAATTCCTTTGATGTTATGGTGTTTTCTCCTATGCAGTTTTATCACAAGAAGATGGGTTTCATCGCAAAGGTTTTCAGGTATGACTATCAAAAAGTTTTTCATACTAAACTAAAACAGGTCAATGGTAACCGATTAATGGATTAGTCTTGGTAATTTGGAAAGGATCAAAGAAATGCTTGTGCTTGGAATGTTAACAAATGTTTATAGTTAAAGAAAAGTAAATCCATCTGTGAAGAATGGCCACTTTATATAAAGATAATTCTGAACACTATGAAGCTGAGAATCAAGAGAAATTTGTAAAACTTTTGTTTTGAAGGAAATGTGAGTGGTTCTTGCCCTCGCAAAATTAACGACCATCGTGATGCTTTTGTTGTGAGTGGTTGCCAGGGCGCTGCCATGCGGTTGGTAGGGAGTTCTGGACCGTTGCTAGGGCATGGATAGGTAACTGCTTTTGTCCCAGAAAATCTATAGGATTGTTTTTTTTTTTTGCTTCACACATTTCAACATCTGCCAGGCAAAATTTGACTTTTTAACCTCTTAAGTTCTGCACCTCTGAATGGTGCGTTTTCGACTAGTTTGCCTGAACACGTTTGTGTTGATGGGTATCATTTCATATTAAAGCGCAAAAGAAACTACGAGCATGCAATGTCATAGTTATGTTGTCAGTTAAGTCATTAAGTTACCAAAAGGTAGTCTCAGCCTCGGACGTCACACCCATGGACCGTTGGGTGAACGTCTGATGCATAAGGCACACAAAATTGGAATCACTTCAGGAGTTTCGAAGTCGTTATAGGATTGGTTGAATTATACAAGATTTCCAGGAGACGTGTGTTGCGTTCTTTAACGTTCTGCCTGGAAACAAATATGCCGTGATGCCAAATCCCTTCATGGAAGAAGAAATCCGTCATGTTTACAACTGTGATTATGAGCACTTATCATGATCAAATAAACGGATTTTCGGATCTGCTGGATTTTCAAAAGTATAACGGATAAGCTGGATTTTCAAAAGTATGTGAAATATGTAAAGTTCGCGCATAGACTCTTTAAAATACGTTTTACACGCCAGTCTGTTGTTGTGGCGACACAACGGCACAAAATGGCACAAAACGAAATGTGATTGGTTGCTTTACCTGTCAGTCATATGGCCTATTGGGCGGTCCTTGGCCATTCAAAGTGGTCAAGTTTCCCAGACCTTTGATGCCAGGGCCGGACTGGGACGCAATTTCAGGCCGGGAAATCTCACACTCATCCAGGCCACACAGAAAAATAGGAGCCAAAATTGTAAATTTTGGGGTAGAACAGCTTGTCAAAACAATCGGTCCAAGATCGCCTGAACGAGGTGGTCTCGGCTCGATTGGAAACGAACTCTGGAGTGGTTCGGTTGTAGTGAGAAAGTAATCCGGTCTAACGGACCAATGAACCAGGCTATATCACAATGTATAATGTGTAATTACGTAAGTTCCGTGAAAAGCATTAGCTTTGTTGTTTTGCTAATACTTCAAAATGAACCAGTGAATGTCTGTGGGTGAGCACGTCTTCGCCATTCAAAATAAAAAAGCGCACTTTTTCATTTTATACCAAAACAATCGGCTTGATTGAAAACGAACTCTGGAGCGGTTCGGTTGTAGTGAGAAAGCAATCCGATCCAACGGACCAACGAACCAGGCTATATCACAATTTATGATGGGTAATTATGTAAGTTCCGTGAAAAGCATTAGCTTTGTTGTTTTGCTAATACTTCAAAATGAACCTGTGAATGTCTGAGGTTGAGCACGTCTTCGCCATTCAAAATAAAAAAGCGCACTTTTTTTATTTTATAACGCCATCTTATTGCTCTTCTTCCTAGTTAGGTGCATTTTAAAGGGGTCATATGATGCTTTTTTAAAGATCATTATTTTGTGCATTTGGTGTAACAGAATATGCTGACATGCTTTAATGTTAAAAAAACACATTATTCATTAGCTTTGTTGTTTTGCTAATACCTCAAAATGAACCTGTGAATGTCTGTGGGTGAGCACGTCTTCGCCATTCAAAATAAAAAAGCGCACTTTTTAATTTTATAATGCCGTCTTATTGCTCTTCTTCGTAGTAGGTGCATTTTAAAAATGTTTCACGATCAATCCTGGACTCCTGCTCAAAATGATAAATTAATATAACGACAGCTACAAAAAAACAAAAACAAAACAATAAGCCCGCAAAGCTGATGTCGTTGCATCCTGACGGATGACAGCCGTGACAGCTAAGTGGAATCCCGGAAAATAACCCGTGGAACTTTGACCAATGAGAGAACAGTTTACTCACGCATGACTTGTATTAACAAATTTGGTCCGTTTAGAAACTTTGCCGTGTGAAAGCGAACCGCACCAAGAATAAAAAGCAACATTGTAATAATTTTAATCCCTGTTTCGGAAAAAAAAGCAATCGATCTACAGGTGTGAAAGCACCCTTAAGTATTTAAGGCTTTTGGCCTAGATTTAACAAATATACACTACCAGTCAAAAGATTTTGAACAGTAAGATTTTTTGTTTTTAAAGAAGTCTCTTCTGCTCACCAAGCCTGCATTTATTTGATCCAAAATACAGCAAGAACAGTAATATTGTGAAATATTTAGAATAACTGCTTTCGATTTGAATATATTTTAAAATATAATTTATTCCTGTGATCAAAAAGCTGAATTTTCAGCATCATTACTCCAGTCTTCAGTGTCACATTATCCTTCAAAAATCGTATTAATATGATGATTTGATGCTCAAGAAACAGTTTGTATTAATATCCTGCTTGATGAATAGAAAGATCCAAAGATCAGCATTTATCTGAAATAAAAAGCTTTTGTAACATTATACACTATACCAAAAGTTTCGAGTCAGGATCTTTTTATTATTATTATAATATTATTTCTCTTTGCTAAATATTACTTTTATTTAGCAAGGATGCTTTAAATTGATCAAAAGTGATGATAAAGACATTTATAATGTTACAAAAGACTTCTATTTCAGAGAAATTATTTCTATAAACTTTCTATTCATCAAAGAAACCTGAAAAAAATCTAATATGTTTTCAATGTAATAATAATAATAATAATAATAATAATAATACTAAATGTTTTTTGAGCAGCAAATCAGCATACACACACATGTGCAGATTCATATAGCGCAGCGCTGCCAGTCAAGAAGACTAACCGATATATGATTTATTATCGATTCATTATCGAATGAAAAAATCAGAAATGATCACTTTGGTACATTGAGAAGGCATAAATATAAAATATTATTATTAATAATAATAATAAAAAAATAAAAACCAGGGCAGCGGGCCAAATCAGCCGCCAGGCCACCGGGAATTCTCCCGGTGCTCCCGATGGCCAGTCCGGGCCTGTGTGACGCCAAACCCCCTCATGGAAGAAGAAAGTCGTCATTTGTTTACAGCTGTGATAATGAGCGCTTATCAGGATCAACAGAATGCTGGATTTTCAAAAGTATGTGAAATATTTAAAGTTTGCTGCATAGAATCTTTAGAATACGTCCAAGAGTTTTACAAGAGTTTATTGTGGGGACATTTCCATGCCCCTAAACATGACACAGCACAAAACGAAACGTGATTGATTGCTTTAACTGTCAGTCATATGGCCTCTTGGGCGGTCCTTGACCATTTAAAGCGGCCAAGGTTTTCAGACCTTCTGCCGTCAGTGGCCCTGTCCCAAATGGCACACTTCAAGTGCACTTGCGCTCTTGTGGACTTTAAGTCCATGAGATCGTAGGCTGTCCCATACGTCATTTTAGCTTTTAGTCTCGCAAGTGTCCCCTTTGCGGCCGCTATGCATTGAAAGTGCGATAGTTCCGAGTCCGAGTCCAAGGGTGTGAAACAGCTCCAAGTAGAATGTCACGTGTTGTCATCTAGAAATCACATTACGATATGGCGTGAATGCAGCATAATACACCCGATTCAACTCGTCAGCTCATCAGTAGAGACTTTAAGACCTGAAGCATGCCAGAAAAGGTAAAGAGTTATGAGAAAATAGGATGCGTGTCGGATCCGTGTCATGTTCAGCAGCTGCAGCTCTTAAAGTAATAGCAGCCAAAATAACCTAATAACCAGCTGTGATGTCTGCTAATCAAAGAAAAAAAAAAAAAAAAGGAAATCAATAACTTTTGTAGTTTTAAGGATTCATCTACATTTAATTTAGAATTTAGTCTTTCATAACTTTATTCCATTTCTGTATATTTCCTACTTGCTGAAGGCTGTACGTGTGCAATGGAGGAAGCTCTAATGTACTGTTAAATTAAAGATGAAATACCATAGAGCAGTGGTTCCCAAACCTGTCCTGGAGGAATTTTGTATGTCTCCCTAATCAGACACACCCAATTTAGTTCTTGCAGTCTCTACTAACGAGCTGATGAGTGGAATCAGGTGTGTTAGATAAGGGAGACATACAAAAGGTGCAGGGCAGGGGGGCCTGCAGGACAGGTTTGGGAAGCACTGCCATAGAGTAATAAAATGAATAAAAAGAAATGAATGAACAGTGAAAGTAACAAAAGATTGTATAATACATTTTAACAGGCATAAATAAGTGTGAAAATAACTGAAGGAAATGTCTGTTTGC